TGGGACATGTAATGTCCTGTCTTGCACCGAGGTACCTTGGTATCGATTGGATAATCGCATCTAATACCTGTCGTACAAATACGCTATTTGGGGTTGATGATCCTTGGCAATGGCGTCGAGCGGAGCTGCATTGGCATGACTCTGGTATTACACCAAGGTTCCCAATAACCTGGATTTCGGCATCTCAGGCCAAAATCAACTAAACCATTCCGTCTTTGCCGCGCATGTCCTGTCCCATCCATATTGTTCGTTCGTCCAGTACGCAACAAGGGAACGGAACAGGGGCGTTTTCTGCCACCCCAGCTAGCAAGACTCTTGTCATTTCTCAACTTGACCTTTTCCCCATCAAGTATTGGTATTTATAGGAAGATCGTCGCCTTGGGCTCATTCTTGAGATGCACACATGGCAAAGGAGCGAGTATTCCGTGCATTTCCCCGTTTTGGGCAACGATCGGCATCAACTCCATATTCCCGCGGTTACAGCTATAAGCGGAATCTGCTGGGACAGCGGAATAATACCAATTCCACCGCAACGCCATGCAGAGGGAATCTTGGAGGGTTTTGAGACATCCTCTTACTCAGTCTCCGCCACCCCTCCAGCTCTGTCGTTTGTGGCTTTATCATGAATCGCAGGTTCCGCCCCGCCAGCGCCCCCGCCATTTCCATAAATGCAAGATTGGCGATAATAATATTGAGGCATACCGGACTAAACTAGCGTAGAGAGATTCTGTGCGTGTGGCGACGACTGCCGGCCTTGCAAGGAGCTCGCAGGTTGATCTAGAACCGTCGGGTTTTTGAAAGCCATCCATGGATCCGCGGATGTCAATGGTTGTCTCCTGCTGAAGATAGGACGGGAAAAGAAACAACCGCTCAGGATAGTTCGTCGCGCGGTTCGGCTCTCGGGAGGCGGGAGACTCCTGTCGGCGCCAGCCTCTTTCCCCTAGCGCGGGTGCTCATATGCAAGAGAGATTTGCAGAATACCCTTCACGATGTTCAGTGAGCTCGAGCTAGTCAGTGCGTTTCTTCTTGCTCAAGGCTTTGAGGGTAGGTGTCAACGGCAGGCCTACGGCCACCACCTTGAGCCCCTCTCCCCTTTCTTCTACTTGTACCTTTCCCTTGTCCAGCTGATATGTGCGTAGGGGGCGTGCCTTTTGCTGTAGATGAAATATGATACCTCTTTCGTCGTGCTGGTAACACCTTGTCCCCACCAGTTGTTATTATGTACTCACCTACACTGCATTGAACGGACAAGGCTTTGGGATCCATGCACATGACGAGGACTTCTGACGAGAGATCTATGATGGGAAGGAATCGAGTCCTCTTTTGTGTCGTGAAGAAGATGATTCTAGTACAGAGGTGGATCGGAGGGACATGTCAACCGACCCCCCTTTTTCTCGCCGGGGAACGGCAGTCAAGTGATCCCTTGTCTCATGCCGGATTTTAGCTTGCTTGCCCGCTCTTAGCCCTCGTTCAGGGCCCACCAAGCTTGTCCTGTCTTGTCCTGTTCTCTCCCTCCCGTCCTCGCCATCTGCGCATTCGATTACACTACACGAGATGGATGGATCTCTCGGGAACCGAGCAAGGGCCCCTCCCGGACCGCGATCCGGCTAACCGTCCCGCACGGTTGTGAGCTCTCTCTTACTTGTGCGCCCTTACTTGTACACGCTGGCGAAATACCCCTGCAGTAAATCCATATCTCCGGGAGTCCATATTTTATTCCATTGGCATCTTGGAACAAAGCAGAAACGATCTCCACCTCCAGCACTTCCAACACACGTCCCCCTGTTGATAGAATGGCATAATTGCAGGTAGAATATATGGAGATCTTCAAGAAAAGTGATAGATGGCTCTCAAGTCGTTGATTTCTTGCATCGAATCGACAAACGAGATGCGGGCCCCTTCCACGTCGTCCGACCCCGCATGCTGCCTTTGAGAGGTTGGGGGACGTGGGCGGAGATCAGTGGAGATTTGGCGGAAACGGGCGGGCAGACGGGCGGAGGTTTTGGCTGCAGGACAGCCGGGGAAGGGGAAAGAAGGAGAGGTTGAGAGGAAACACGTACCCTGGTCAGGAGCCAAGCGGGCAATGCGGGCAATCGACTCTCAGGTATCTAAAACGCCCAGTTGCCTTGGGAGGGATAGAAGGCTGCTTACGGGGCCGAGGATGCGACCTCAAGAAGATCAACCTCGCAGGGACAGAAATCGACACAGGGTTCATTTATAGGTGTCACTCCAACATACCGAACATCGATTATCAAGGAAAGGAAAGATGATACTCTATAGGCTCCTAGTGACTTGCGTGCCTTGGGTGAGGGGAGGAAATCGAATTACATTGGCAAAAGAGAAGTGAAAGGTAATAGAAACCAAAAAGAAAGAGAAAAAGACCAGAGAGAGAAAAGAAGAAAAAACGGGAGGGCAAGCCCCCGCTCTCGTGCTTACCTCTCTCCCTCAAGCTAAACACTAATAACTAACATAGACAACGACGATTTCGGTGGATGTGTGGGTGTGGGGAGGATTCTACGCCCCCAGCCGCTTGCCCTGCTTTCTCTTTTCGGCCAAAGAAATCGGACTTAGACGCCAGGGCTCAGGGTCCATGATCCTTCGCAAGGACTACGCAATTTTTCCTTAGCCCTTTGCCAGCTCGACAGCGGCCTTGCAGACCAGTATTCCCGACCTTGGTGGCCCGAAGCCAAGGGCGCTTCCCCGAATACCTGCCCGACTTCCGGGCCATTAAAGGCAAGGCCGGCAGCAGCATCCCCTGGTAGTCCTGAGATCCTGGGACCAGGGGCCATAGAAGAAGACGGGGCAAGGGGCATCGGTTTGTGATTGCCATGCGCCGCCGCATCCCCTCCCTCGCCTGACCCTTGATGGAGTGGCAACGGCGATGAGGACGTGGATGGCTCGCCGTGGTGATCGAAGATTCCCCTGTCCGATCGCAAGGCTTTGCCTGTCCGGGGCTCCAAGGGGGCGAGTACAAGCACAAAAACCCTACCAGCTAGCGGTCGCAGGGGATGGCAACGCTGTGGTACCCATTTGTCCCCATTTGCATGTCTCTACCTCGGTATCATTGAATAAAACCGCAGTTTCTAATGCGGAACAAATCGAAAGAATAGGCGGAGCAAGGGGGAGGTGAGGGAGGGGAGGGAGAGAAAACGAAGGGAAAAATTATAGGAGACACGCTGTGATGCCACGGTGATGTGATCTGGCAGAGGCCGAGTCTATGCTGTTCGCAGAGGGCCACCCGCATTTTTCCCACCGCCTTTGCTTCCCCGTAGCAGTTCTCACCTCTTCTTTGCATGTGTGTATGTGTTGGTGTATGTGCAACCTTGTGTGTGCGACCTTGTGTGTGCGTGTATGTGTGCGTGTATGTGTGCATGTGTGCCCGCATGCGCCCGCGCGCGCGTGTGAGTGTAGCCCTCCCGTCTTGGCCCGCCTCAAGATTTAAAGATCAATCCATTCATAGCTTCCGGTGGTTCTGAGGGTGGGCTGGCGGAAGGATTGCAGACATTTCCTTCTCTGCACCTATGTCTCCTATTCCCGAATTGGGAAATGGGGCTTGAAAGTGGAATGGCTGAGAGATGTCCATCATCGTCGTCAACGTTAAACAAGCAACTCGATGCTGTTCTTCCTTTTCGATCCCTACACGCGCGCCATCATCTCCCTCTCCTCCTCCCGCCTTCTACTTGTCTTCCCATAGGCTCGCAGGGGCAATAGGATAACGGCTGTCGGTCTGGCACAGCGCCCCTTTTTCTATTCACTCTATTACACATTAGCTTCTCCTGCTCCACTGCGCCTCTTTCAACCTGGTGTAAAGGGTCTCGAACAAGATGACCAACATGTCTCCCCCTTCCCCTTCTCCCCTCCCCATTCTCCCCCTCCCCATTCTCCCCCTCCCCATTCTCCCCTTCTCACGCTTCTTACCGTTCTCGCCCTGTGGAACGTGAAGAGGCGGAATGCGAACAGTTGGGCAAACTATTGGGCCGAGACAAAGCTGCACATCCATTCCTTTCTCTTCTCCACCTTCATTTTCCCCTGGCTTCTCATCTTTCCTGCACCGTTGCCGAGACCGCGAAGGAGAAAACGGCCCTGACACCTCCCTCCCTCTCTTTTCCCCGCTGCTAAGCTTCAAAACCAGCGGCCTATCTTAAGCTTTCATTTCTGTTATGAGTTATGCGTCTCCGAATAATGCCCTTTTCACCCCCTATGCTTCAAATGGCTGGCTGGCTGACCGTTTCGGGAAGATCCATGTTCGGCTGTGGGTGGCATGTCTCACCGCCATCTTTTCGCGTATGGAAGCGAGGGTCGATGTTGGTTTCTCAAGGGACAAAGGATGTGATTATAACGCAAGGAGTATGTCCTGCCGGAAAGGATGTGTGAGAAAGCCCCCAGGCTCTTGGCTACTTGTCTCCATCCACAGGTCTCTGTTGTAAGCGGCTCCTCGGCCACCATCGAGTTCCTCGACCTTCACCCCGAGCAAGCTATCGTGCCCGTACCGTACCCTACCACGTCTCTTTTGATACGACGTCTAAATAGATGGCAAGGCCAAATCCAACCGGAACCGGGTTAAAGAGCAAGAAGGGGGTTAATCTGGCAGACAGTATTCAGAATGTATCAAGTCAGCCATTGGAAGAAATAATCTGATGTGGGACTGTCAATGGGCGGTAAGGCTACAATAGCTCTTCACAATGGGACAAGGCTATAATCAAACTGAGAGTTAATGAATAAATGTAACCTTGGCTTTAATATACAGCTAACCGCATATGAAGCGAAGAAAAAGAGATAGACCAATTTTTGGTTGTTCCGGGAAAACGGGCTCTCAGTTGCAGTTGTGCCGCCCGGTTCTACTTCCGAGTCTAAACCCCAACACATAACACCGGCCCTTGCTTCTGCCCAAGTGGCTGCCGTTGACCCTCAACCCAGGTAACCAGTTATCTAATATGCTTTTCCAAATGCTAATAATGTATGGGTGAAGGCTAACAAAGAGGCCATCCTGCTAAGGTCTACTAAGCCATCCCCATTAATACGAACTTGGTAGCATCAGTATCATAGATATAGTCCATGATCAGTAGAGCAGAGGACAAGGCTTCCGAGTTAGACGAGAATGATGGTCTGGGCCAAGACATCCCCCAATCCCTCTCAGCATCAAACGCATGCAATGCGATGCCCTTGCGAACAAAAATGTCCGTTCCATCGGGCGCCTCGCCGACCCTCTCGAGGATAAGGGCTACTACCTCTGTCGAGCTGGTCGAGAGCTCGCCGCCCCAGATATAGCAACCCGCGCGGATCAAATAGTAGCCTCGTATCGGGGTGAGAAGCCGTGCCCCCGACGTGCCGGGTGCCTCCGGCACCTCCGGTGAGTCCAAAAACACGTCAAAAATGAAGATGGGCCTGACAACTAGACGCCCATTAGTCGTGTGCAGACTCTGTCCTGGCTCCCGAATCACGTCCCAGGTGGGATGCTGCCTCCTGCGGAGCTCGATGGCCCTGAGAGTGGGGTCCGTTCGGCTGGGACTGGCATCGTCGATGGCCCGGTCTAATTTCCTGTCGGCGGGTCTGGTTCTAGGCCCGAGCAATTCAAGCTGCCACCTGTCAATCGTAGTGTCAAACTCGACGGGGAGGATCTGGCCGTGGACTCGAATGGAGAAACTCTCTGCAGGGCCGTAAGGGTTGGTTGTTGAAAGCGTAGGACTGACAGTTTCCATGACGGTCAACAGGGGCTTGACCTCAGGGGCGTTTCCCCTCTCCCCCTCAAGCGCTCCCAGAGGATGTTCTGGTAGCGGTTAAAAATGCTACAGGTCCCTTCACCGAGGCCCACGAGAACGAGGGCGCGTACGGAACGCTGGACCTGCTGTTCACTGTACCCATCCTTGTCGCGGAGCGGTGGTCGCTGTACTAGAGCAGGGTATAGGCCAGGTCCGCGGTCCAGATACCCGTATAGTACTCCGAGGAGGCCGTCTGGCCACGCACTACGTCCGCTAGGCCTGAGAGTGCCGGCAACCTGTCCGTGTCGATCGTAAAGTCCATGTTAGTCATCTGTTGGACTACCCCGGGCCACTCCTTGAGGAGCTCCATCGGTAGCGTGGTCTTCAAGGAGAACAGCTTGCGGAAGTAGTTTGGGCTGGGCGGTGCGCTCAGAGCACGGCATTCGCAACGCTGCAGCGAATAGCATGACCATACAATCTCCTCCTCGTAAAAGTGGACGATGCGGGCTGAGAGGAGGAACTCTTGTAGGGCCCATGCCCGCGTTGATAGTTTACTTGGACGAACTGGCCCGCTCGAGTGTGGAGCCGTGTCAGGGTTGACCGGGTTCTTGTATCGCAGTCGGGCATATACGGTGACTCGAGTTGAGTCGTCGGCGGTCGTTTTGATGGAACGCGTCCAGTGAGCCGTGGCGCGAGCCGGCAGGGTCCCCAAAAACCCGTCAAGTGACGCCTTGGCGGAATCTGCAGCAATAGTTAGGGTAGCGTTTCGATACACATCCTTCAATTTGGTAACCTCGCGCGCCCAATCGTGTCTGTCATCCTGAACTATGCAGATGGAGTCAATCCTAGAGAGGCCGAGACCAACGAGTAGACACAGGGAATCCCCGTTAGTTAGGAATAAACACCATGGCCGCATCTCCAATAGACACTTACCAGATAAACCTGAACCCCAACGCTCGAGTCAGTTCGATAGCGTCATGATAGGTCTTGGCTGCTTCACTGATTTCTATCCTGCTCAATCGTTTGACGAAGTTCGACATGCACGTAACGTCCACAAATCGGCACCCCCAGCAATGGCTGAGGGCGACGTATCGAGCCTCCTCTCTTTCCCGTGAAATGTAAAGTTTCATCGTCTCATTGGAGGTACCCACGTCGATGACCCTGGCCGGAAGAAACTTGGGCTCAGGCCATTGGCATTGGGGGTGGTTTTGTTCGCAGTCCTCCAGCCACTTGCGAATCAAGGGAACATACCCGTCGGGTTTTAGACTTGTTTCAATGTTCCGGCCGCAACCTATATTCCAAGCGGTAGGGCGATCTGTAGAAGGAGAAAGAGAACAGGAGTAAAAGAATGGATGTCCTTAGCTTGCATCCTAGACCACGAGCGACGAGTAGGATCTAGGCTAGAAGGGGGGAGCAGTTGATCCATTGATGTACTCACCGTGCTCTGTAAAAACCTCAACATACTGATCAGCCCTGCCCTGTACTTTCACAGTCAGGTAAAGAGGGCCGTCGGAAAGACACTCGATGTGGTCCACGACCCCTGGAGCGAAGAAGCTATTGACGGCCGTGTGAATGATGTGGCACATCTTGCACTTCTCGGCGGCTCCCTCGAGCAGAGAGGCGTCGACGACGAAGTGTTCAGCCTCCAGCCCGTGACAGAGCGCACATCTTGGGGGCCGGGCGACGGCCGCCATATGGGGAGTTTGATGCGAGGCTCTCGAGGATCAAGCCTAGGATATAACAAAGCATCGGCCGAAAGACCAAAAATGGCAACTGTTCTTTTTTAAAAGAAAAAGAAAAAGAAAAAAAGAAGAGGCAGAAGGAAAAGGACGCTGATCTCGCCGTGATCTCAAGGTAGTATATCAAGCCACGGGACGCCTCTGGGACGCTCTTATCTCCTATGCGTGGTGGTCGAATGGGGAGTCAAGATATCTACGCAGGAGCATGAAAGGAGGCGAGTGATAGAGAAGGTGCATCTTGTAGTGTTTTCCCACTTTTGCTGTAACTGCGCATCGTCACTTACACACGCTCCGAAGCTTCGTCGGCTCACGCCTCCCCATTTGCCCACCGCACTGTCCTTAAATGGGCCATGGTACGGAGAAGTATGCGAATGAACAATAGAGCCCGATCCATTCATTTATGATGATCCCGTAAGGAGATGTCGTTTTGGCCCCGTTTGGCTCTCTCGTTGCCGTCGACGTCAGCACTAAAAGATTCCGAAGAAGGCTAGAGAAGGGATGTAAAGGGCCGCCTCTCCATCTGAACTCAACTCCCGCCTCATAGATTCAGCCGTGGACATCTCAATGAGTGCAGCAACGTCAGGCTCCAGCTATGACCCGGAGCGAGCGAGTGGGGACGCCGCTACTAGCTCCAGCCTTCCCCAGCACGACCTAGGCCAGCACAACCCCTTCGACGTCGACGCCATCTTTCCTGTCACGATTTACGGGCTGTATCGGGGACAGACCCCGCTACACCGCGTTGTCCCCACGGACTGGCTTTACGAGGGGTTCCGAACGCGCACTGGGGCACCTTTTAATTTGCCCCTAACCCCGGGCGACGTCCCCTTGTTTCGGACGGGGTTTCGGCCCCGGAAGCCTCTGTGCTATAACACCCAACCGCCAGACCTCTCTCCATCTTATTCCCTGCATCAAGAGGAGGACGAGAATAAGGTGGTCGTGGATGCGGCAGGCGACACTACTATGGCCGGGGGCACGATTATCATTCCCCGATGCAAACGACGCGGCACAAGCCGCCCCGTCACCCACCGGCGGACGACGGGACGGCATCCGAGGACAAGTGGTTCATTTTCGCCATTGGGCCCAACCAGCAGGGCCTCATGAATGTGCATTTCCACCGCAGCTGGACCGGAATTAAGGCCTTTGAACTCCTCATCGACACTGGTGTCGAGGGTGCACATCACGAAGGTTTGCGCTCCGCAGATTCTGGCCCCAGCAAGGGTCCGCGCATCACGTATATCTGGTGGGAGTCGCACCCAGACTACTGTCTCGAACACTCAGACGAGGCTGCCAACAAGGAGATTGCCAGGAGAGCTTGTCAATGGGTACTGGGTGTCACCCTACCGCTCGAGCACGGGGTGAATCGGAATCCTCGGAAACGAGCGTGGGAATCCCTGTAAGAAGTGGTTTGAACTCGATCGCCTCTTGGAAGAACCTGCAAGTGCACTATGCGGACTTGCCGGAGTGTACGCTTGCTGGCGTGCAGGATCGGGCTTAAGGGGAGAGGCCATGCTGCATGTTCGACTATGCATTCTGTTGAAGTAGATGGGAAGGGGAATGATAGCCTGTTCCACTTCGAAGGCGCATGGGAGTGTAGTTTCAAACAGATGCCTGGTCCATCCCCGGGAAATGGCATCCATATGTTTGCAGGATGAGGTGGGGTTTTGTGTCATCTTATTCCTCCCGATGGAACTGGTATCGATTTGTAGTATATCATACAGTGACTCTCTACTAGGTCGGTGCATGTGGGCCAAAGATGATAGCCTAGGCCGAGTTTTGGAGTAAAGATACTTAACGGAACTCTACTGCCATGGCTGGGTTATATGCCGGGAGTTGAAGACAAGACGGCGAAGTGATAGGCTATAGATATATGTTAAGCAAGCAAGTCTACAGGTAGCTTCTCCTCTTTTCTTCTGTATTCGTATTTTATTTCCCCCTCGATAAGCATCAAGTGATTCCTGAGAAGTAACAAATCCCCATAACCGCCCCCTTTGTGCGGCTTTGCGTAGAGGTTTGATGTGCGAGGTTTTTAGACATTGGGAAAGAAGAAAACGGAAGGGCTTAGGCGGAGAGTGAGAAAGGAACACATTGAAGACATCCATCGAAAAAGATAGGTGGATACGATTTAGCTTATCACTGTTTGTTCTTTGTTCACTTCTTGCCGGTCCCTACATAATCCAACCATCGCAGTTCGTCTCTTTCCTGTTTTCCCTTGGGTTTCCCTTTATTTTATTTCCCTCTTCCTTTTCTTTCCTGTTAACCCCCTTCCCCCATATTTTCCTTGCCTTGGCCCATCCCATCTCACCATCCGCTGGAAGACTCGCCTGTGCGCTGACGCGGGTTCAAGGTCGATTGAATGAACCAAAAAAATACGGGACAGCAACACTAAGAAACGCTGAACACGCGTACATATACACACACAAGTTCGCAGTATACAAAAGCCGCCTGCTCCTGGTCTCGTCTTCATACACCACCGTCCTATCTCGCCGGAATAAATATAGATGGCCCACACATCAAACTTTGGGCTACTAATAGACTTACTGTTCTTTCCAAGAAAAAAGATAAAACAAAGGTCTGCCAAGGGTATAGCTATACGGTATAGGATAAAAAAGCGAGACTAGGGGTAGGGGCTTTTCGCCCTCCCATGCGCTTCCCCGCTGGTCTGACGACAGAGCACCGGCTTGACAACGCAAAAACAAGAACCAAATAAAGTAGAGAAAAGGAAGGGTAGGTAGTGCCGCTAAGTTGGTCCCGGGGATCACCACCGCACGAGCTACGACCGGTCCATAGAAAGGGACGCGTGTGGGTGTGGCAGTGGAAAGCTTGGCGGTCGCATATATAGGTGCGGCGCGTACGACGGATGCGCGTGCTGTCGTGCGTGTGGCGAGGGCGCGTGCACAAACTGCCGCCCCATGGGAGGTGGTGGTAGGTAATACTGATGCTGCATCGGCTGGTATGGGCGCCACAGAATTGGCCCTCGCCGTGGCTAAGGGCAAGGAGCGGGCGGTAGGAGCAACCTCGGTAGCCGACGGCCGTTCTACAAGCCCCCGCGGCCCGACTTGGACGCCCTGGTGAGCTCGGTGAAGACGGCGCGTACCTGATCGCGCAGGCTTTTGTAGGTGACGATGAAGACAGTCTGCTCGTCCCGGCTGGTCAGGCAAACACGCTCGTCTACCCCGGCGTCGAGCTTGTTGAGGCACGTCATCATGTGACCCACATCTACGACCGGCTGGCCATTGGCGTCCACCTGGTGGAAGACATAATCGCGGAACAGCTTGAGCGTGTAACGCTCTCCATTCTCGGCCCACTCTGGGTCCCCGTTGAACTCGGGCCGCTCGTTGATAGTCGCCAGCTTCATGAGCAGCCGTGCCGCCCGTCCGTTCTCTAGACTTGTCGCCAGCTCTGATCGTAGCGTATCTGCCTGTTGCAGTGACTGGTCTAGGGAGGTGACAAAGTGTGTCGCGATGCCCCGAACAAACTCATCAATGTTCTTGACCTGTTGCTGCTGCGGCGTTAAGAGCCACAGCACCGTATCCCGCATCTCCACCGAGTAGTGCCGACTGAGATGCTCCATAGCCGCGTTGGGGTTCGTGAGCAGCGTCGGCGGCGTTAGCGACGCTAGAGAGAGGATTGCCCGCCCAAACTGGAGGAGATCCTCCTGCTGCAGCTCCAGCACCGGCCGCCTTGCATCGAACTGCACAACATCAAGAATCGAGCACGCGTCGAGGCGGATTCGGTTCTTATCAGTCGAGATGATCTTGCCCAGGTCGACGCACCGCGCTGCGAGGTTAGCCGCATGAATGGCCTTGAGTGCGGTGGCAATCTGGGTAATGTAGCCCCACAAGACAGCTTCGGCGATCATGGTCTGTTGCTTATAACGCCCCCATGCGTGTTCGATTGATTGGGGAAGTGGAGTTCTAGCAAGGTTTTTGATAGCGGGAAATATTCCTGGACAAAGACGATGGAGCTATCACCAAAGGCACGGGTCGTGAAGGCGTCAAACACGGACACGATGCTCCCGCAGTCTACCCGTCGCCACTCCTTTACCGTTCGGATAGCGTGCTCGTTGGATAGTCGGAAACCTGATTTTCTCGCGTTAATTTCTGGAAGCCATTAGGGGCAGAGAACGGAAGTGCGCTTTCGTCCACTCTACATTCTGTGGGTTTCAGGGGTTCTTAGACAAGGTCCAATCTCACCTTCAAGTCTCCTGAGGCACCGGATATGCCCCGTCTTGCCATCTACCGCCTTGTACACCCAGCTAGGGTACCCAAATGGGCTGGCGTTCTTCCTGTTCGAGGTGTCCAGAGCGACGAGGCTGTGGAAGTTGTCGAGCTGCGGAAGGCCGGTATCTATGCGTGAACTCATTAGTATGTATTGCGATGGAAGAAGCTCGGCTCTCTATCGTACTAATAACTTGGCGGGCCGCTTCCGCCTTCTTTTGGAGGTCCTGCCTCAACTTCTCCGACATGAAAAAGTCATGCGATGTTCTCTGGTAAGGAAGCAAATCTTCCTTGTGAGGGCCGGCAGGGAAATAAAGGTGATGGAGCAGGGGTTGGGTGTGAGTTGTGAACGCATTTTGGGGAAAGTATGCTGAGTTGGCTGCCCCGAGAGCGGCAGCGGCAGCGGCAGCCGCTGCCGCATTGTGGTCTTCGGCGTAGGGGTTGAAGGCGGTCGTGGGCATGGCTTGACCAACCGCGCCCATGGAAAAGGCGTCATAGGTGAGGTTTGCCTCCTGCGCGCTGGCAGATGTTGTCTATATAGAAAAAAGCCATGTCAGTTGAAGGGGCACCGAAGCCACACCTGACCCCTTCGCCTATCTCTAAAAGGGGAAAGAAAGACGACAAGGCTATCAAACCTACAGCGTTATTGCTTAGTCCATAATTTTGAGGAGTGAACTCTGGTATGGCGGCGGGATTAGGGGTGAAGACGCTTTGCTCGCCATTGTGCTGTAGGGGAGCGTTGGTCGAGGCACCACCCAGCGCTGGGAGCGGAACGGATGTTAGCAAAGAAAACGCGGATTAGCGCGAATCGGAGTTGTTTCCTCACCAGAATTTGCTCGAGGGGTGAAGGGAGCAGCGCTTAGAGCTTGGGAAGAAAAGGTGGATTTCTTAACGAGATTCGATGGGGTAAAAGAGGGTGACTCGACGTTTAGCGCCTTCTTTGGCCTAGAGAGCAACAGAAAGTTGTAAGAATTAGCTACGGCACAATGTCAGGCTCATGATAGCATTGCCCGTCGAGATACCAATGCTCAGCGCCTGGCTGTCCGTAGCCGACATGTTCCTAGCACGAGGGCGCAAAGCGATATCGGAAGTTGGGAAGGCAAGGGTAGCTGAAGCCGCCACTCCACTCATAGGAAACAAGACACGAAAATTCTTGTCCTTTGTTCAAAGAAAGAAAGGAGAACAGAGAGGGACCTACGCTTCGGTGGCGGCGTTGTTATTCGCGACAGCGTTCGTGTTAGTGCTATTGTTGGCATTCGTCGTAGTAGAGTTCTTGTTTTGGTCATGATTGAAAGTGCAGCCTGAGTTCTCGTATCTGCAGTGACCATAGATGAGGATGTTGCGACAGAGGGTATCCTTGTGATCTAAGGAGGGGGAGACGAGAGCCGAGTTAGCATGGGAGACAAGACAGGCATCCGAATCCAGGACTGCGAAATTCCCTTCCCACCTTCTTCATCAACTCCGGGCAGCGCAATAAGTTGAAGACAACACGTCGCGCCGGCGCCGCAAAGCATGTGAGAGGAAACGCAGGGGCTGGCTGGGCAAGGAGAAGGGGAGGGGATAAGCACGATACGAACCTCGCCCCTTAGGCTTGGGAGACCCAACCTGCCGTCGCAGATCGCTATTCTGGTATCCCCGCGCCGCCATTCTACCGATGCTGGAACGGGGGAGGGGTTATATTGTGGATGGCGCGCTATTCGGTGATCGATCTAGGCTACCTGCGGCGGAAGAAAAGAGGAGAGTGACAGAGCACAATGGTCAGTGGAGGTTCACCAATTTAGCCAAGGGTTTAAAAAGCATGCTGGGGGTGTGCTAGCGCCGGGAGACTGAGGACCGGGCGACGTGGCGACGACGTTGGGGGCTAGCAGAATTGGCTCTACGGTGGGCCAGGCGACGATACCGGAGCCGCCAAATGATGGCGAGATCACGATCCGACATGTTCTCCAAGAGGATGCTTGAGAGGAGAACACGGATGGATAGACGCGGGGTTGGAGGGATCAAGTCCGAGCCACGATGAAGCATCGGCGATGCCGTAATCGCGTGGGAACCTGACGACTGCATAGGGAGGAAGCGACCGTAAGGCCGGGGAAGGAAGGACAGTCATACCTGGCTTGTACAAGAGTCTCCCATGACTGAACACACGAAGTAGACAAGTGACACATGGACGACGACGGGGCCGAGCAAGCAAGCAAGGCGACGAGGCTGGTTGAGGGCCTAGAGCACGGGGTATCAATGGATCCAAAGCAGTCCTTCCTCTGATGGAAAAGGTGGACCGGATCAGCGACGCAAGCTGGCGATGCTGGACTGAGCTGGGTTCGGGCTGGGAGGGCCAATTGTTGATATTAGAAGGGACGGGGTGAAAAAAGTGCTGCTCCGCTGTGTGCACGCGCGAAGATAGAAAGAGGTCCCGTGTGTTGCGCGCGCCTGGAAGGGTTGGATCGTTGCGCGGCCAGGCGTGGGGACAGGCGCAGGGGAGTGGAAGGGAGGAGGCGCGCACACGCACGGCGGGTTTTCAGGGCCCAAGTAAAGAGCGCGGCTTCACAGGGTGGGCTTGGGGTGTGTGAATTTGTTGTTAGACGTACGAAACTAAGGTTAATCGGGGACTGATTTCCCCAGCATAACGATTTGCTATTGACTGTCGAGCAAAACGCAGCCTTGGACGCGCGGGGAAACACTCCTCGATAATGGGTCAAAGTATGCATGTTGGGATGAATTCTCTTATCGGGGTGAGAAAGAGGACAACGCGAAAGTGAACAAGAGCAATATTAAGGGGTTTGGGGGTTTGTTTCTCTGGACGCGGCCTGCGTGCGTTTCGAAAAGCATGGCTATGTATGGGTCGAAAAGCAGCCTAGTTTAGAATCGGGGTTATTCGGTCCCAGAAGCACCGACTTTGGCGGGCTGTTCTGGCGCCCGGCACCAGTTGCAATAACGGCAGGACAACAGCTAAGCTTGCATCCCCTGCAAGTCTATCAATGACATGTGTCGTCACCTCGAAATGGAACTCTCTCGCACGCCACGCTCGTACTTCCAGTTCGAGTCCTGGACGGATACCGGCCTCACAAACCTTCACACCCTTACCCCCACTGCTCACAACAGCCATTCTCAACCGCTTGATTCGGCGCCAGTGGAATAGCAAAAATAAAGCACCTCGCTTAGTGTCTCAGCCATCCCTCCGAACGAGCGCCCTCTCCCGAAACGGCTTTCCCTTTTGTCATCCTGTGAAGCCTTCCTTTGGCGGCTGCCTACCTCATACATACCGCCGCCTCACACTTTCTCTCCTCGCCTTTGCTCCCCAATTCTCTGGGGAATAGGGCATACCACTACGGGCCGCGACAGGACAGCATAGAACCTAAATTCTATAAGACCTCCTCTCCTTCCGCCCAATTCTCTCTGTCGCCTGAACAGTCGTCAGCTTCGATCTCTTCATCCCGATAATCGGCGGGCTTGAAGCGGGTTGAGGGCATTAATAAATGCACGGGTTAGCCACGCACTGAACAGCAAGATCGAAACCGCCACTCATCTTTCCCTTTGTTTGCTACTTCATATCAGCTCTCAACGGGCCTATCGAAACCAAAAATGGCGAGCGACGTTACCGAGCGCGCCGCCCTCAGTCCCGAGCAGCAAGACGCTCTCGACCAGTACATGGGCGTGACCGCTCAAGATGAACAGGCCGCTATAGCTCTCCTCGGCAGGTCAGAATGGAACATCCAGGTATGTCTCGTGAGGAGATGGTCGACATCACTTTTACTTGCCTTCCTTTGTGCCCTGCCATGACTAACGTTCACCTCTCCTTATCTTCTCTAGATTGCGATAGCGAAATACTTTGACGGCGAAGGACCAGACCCTCTTGCAGAGGCCCTCGCCGCGCAGCAAGCGCCGGCGTCTTCCCCCGATTCGAGAATCTGCAAGAATCCTTGCACACCTCACCACGGGCTAGCTCGAGCGCGGCGGCCGCGGCAAGGGAGCCAGCACCCGATGCGGCGCCCCGCATTGTACCCCAGCGGGATAGGATCCAGCGGCCACACTTCCTCCTCACGCTCCTCTTCACTCCCTTCGCACTCGGGTATCGGGTCGCCTCGGTAGGCATCCGTTTAGCCCTGTACATTCTCTCGTTTCTTCCCCGCCCTATACGGCCAACCTTCCTCACGAGCGCCATGGCCTCTGGGTTTCGCAGCACATCGGGCCGTCGCATGCTCCTGCCCGCCGATACAGCCTCGCGGTTTAAGCGGGAATTTGAGGAGGAGTACGGCCCCAACGAGCTCCCATGGTTCGAGGGTGGCTTCGCTCAGGCCCAGGACCTCGCTAAGAAGGACCTCAAGTTTCTCCTTTTCGTTCTAGTGTCCCCCGAGCATGACGAAACCGAGGCTTTCACCAGGAGACCCTGCTTTCGCCGGAAGTCATTGACTTCATCCGGGATCCCGCCAATGACATCGTGCTCTGGGAGGCAACGTGCTCGACTCGGAGGCTTACCAAGTCTCGACCGAGTACAACTGCACAAAGTTCCCCTTCTCTGGCCTCGTTTGCCTCACCCCGAAGCACGGAAGCACCCGCATGGGCACCATAAAGCGGCTCGCAGGCCCTATGCCCCCTCCCGCTACCTCGCAGACCTTCGCACCGCTCTCGAGAAACACGCTCCAGAGCTCGCAGCTGTCCGCGCAGAGCGCGTAGCCCGCGACGCTGTACGCAACATCCGATCCGAGCAGGATTCGGCTTACGAGCGCTCCTTGCCGTGGACAGGGAGCGCGCCCGCGAGCGTCGTGAGGCCGCCGCCCGCGCCGCTGAGGAGGAGAAGCGAGCCGCGCAGGCGGCCGACGATGCTGCGCGCACCGCCGCCCTCCGTGAGCAGTGGCGTCGCTGGCGGGCGAGCCGGGTCCGGCCAGAGCCTGAGGCGGGGACCAAGGGATCGGTGCGCGTGGCCCTTAAGTTCTCCGACAGTGCAGGTGGGCAGAGAGTCATCCGTCGGTTCGAGGGTGACGCCCCCTCGACGAGCTCTACGCCTTTGCTGAATGTCACGACCTATTGGTCGGCGGAGAGGCGTACGATGACGCGGAAGAGCCTGAGGGCTATACCCACGAATATACCTTTGCGTTGGCATCACTCATGCCGAGAAAAGTATACGGGGCCGGCGATCCGGGGACTCTACGTGAGGTGATTGGCGCATCCAGCAACCTCATCATGGAAGATCTCTGAAGAAGGGAGAGAAACGGGACGAACGATGCGATAGCGCCATTCCCAGCTGCGCGCATGCGCCAGAGTCTACGGCACCGAACACGTTTATGACCCCAATTCGGATAATCTTACGAAATGAGAGGGAGTTTGGCAATGGAGGATAGAGCATGTGGATGACAAAAAGAGGGGGCGGGAACTTGGGGAAACGGGTGACAATGATCCGCTGCTACCTTCCTTTGCTTCATGTTCTTCTCTTCTTTATCTGATTTCTCTCCAGGGATTTTCTTTGTTGCTATTGTAAGACTATCACCATAGACATCAACTTCGGACCTTGAGAATAGGGCTAGCGCGAGTTAAGCTGGCACTCATTATCTACATACAGAGACACACACAGACACACACTGGCGTACACATGCATGTAGTTGAGGCGTGGAGATTTCTCTTGGCGTTTGGCAGCGAGCATATTACCTACTGAGAATTAACGTCACTCGAGCCGGACGGGCCCTTTTCTCGCCTTCAGCATCTGTGTTTATTTGAGGCGAGGTCGCGAGGCCTCCGTGTCCTCGCACGTGTTCCCATTCTAGGTCCCTATCTACGTCCCATGCTATCATACAGAGGGACCCTTCTTTGGTTTTCCGTTTCATACAGCGAATGGATAGAGTGCAAACATGGATGCCTCTAAGCAAGGGTCAAATCATCCGCCGTGGCTTTCTAGGTGTCTCACCAACACCGCCTCTAGCGCAACCGAGCACCAAATAAAGATCGTCGAGAGTGAATCGTTATGCGAAGCGAGTGACGTGGGAGACCAGACTGGCCTCAAAATAAGAGTGGTAGAAGAAGGAAAAAGCCCACAGATCCTATCATATTCTAGTGGATGCCGATTCCAGTGTAAAGCATTTTTGCTCATGCTCTACTCCCCTCCCGCCACGACGGAGGGAGAGACTGAGAGTCTGTCGACTGAGAGGAAAGCCCAGAATTGAGTAGAATCAAAATTTCGTTCGGTGGATTTTGTCGCGTGCGCCGTCCCAAGTCTCCCCAAAAACTAGAAGGCGGCTCGGTCCAAGTCGTTTCGTTTTCGTCATTAAGGTTTGACGCCGTCGCAAGCCATTCCGATCCCGCTGAATCAGTGGGATATCATGATCATCCTCGACACTCTTGCTACCTTTATTTTGAACCAATGAAGTCTTTTAAATAGTCGAGAGGAGGTGTGGGAATCATGGCGAGAGTGAGAGAGTGAGAGTGTGAGAGCGTGAAAACGAATGAATATGCGAGAGGGAGTTCAAGCCAGATCTAACCCCCCAAAGAGTGTTGTAAGTAAAGAGTACGGGGTTCCCCTTGGAACCTCTTAGAGCTCTTTACTGAGCGTATTTCATGTATACCTCCGTCGGCTCCATCGCCGGCTTAGGCCATGATCGTTGGCTGGTGCTACTGTCTCGCCTGCAGGTAGGGTAGAAAAGGTCAAACATTAGTAACAGATAGTGAGGTGTACGGGTTAACAAGCTCACCTTGCAAAGTCATTAAACATTGGCAGGGTAGCTTGCTTGCGTTTTCTTTCACTTTCGACCAGACAGTTATGCGCGCCAAGGGCGGCGTTAGCGATCCACATGAAGCCGCTGATGAAGGAAAAGGCGAGGAGAGTTTTCCACGTGTCGCAGCGTTTGTTGCTCATCCAAGCAAACATCCACACCCACCTGTACCAAACACCGTGGCATCCAGGGCTCAGCTACAATTTTTGGCGGGTCGAAGAGTTAGCCAACTTGCGCAAGGTGTCTAGTGGGTGGCGTAGGGGAAAGTGAAGTGAGAGGAAAAGAACGACAGGGAAGAAGAATCACCACGTACATCAATCAACAAGACGAAGGCAACCATCCACAGGGCAAACATTATGGCGTCAAACGGGAAAGCCAAAAGGAGTAGCGCTTGGGAGGCATGAGGACGAGGGAGGCTACGATGCTGATACACGAGAGGGCTAGGACATAGTCGATACGGCCGCCATGGTCCATGTCGCGTATGTCGAGCTGCCGGACGAAGCTACCGGCGATGGTGCAACAGACACCGGAGCTGATAAAGGCGCTCGCTCGGGTAAAGGCCGCAGCGAGTTGGGATTTGGTGACCATGATGGGAGAGAGTATTTGAGATTAAAAAAGGAAGCAAGAGCTTTAGGCGAGCCTTTCTATACTGAGGCCGCTGTCGTTAGAAGTTGGGATATCTTTTAGTTTAGAAGACCGGCCAGCCTGAGTCCAATGGCTTCCCCAGGCAATCTTTGAAGGGCTGATGGTGATGATGTTTAGCAAGAGGGTCTGGATGGATAAGGGTTGTAGCTCGTTCAGCCGGAGCTTTGGGAGGGCCATTGGGAAGAGCAAGGGCTCTAATATAATGAAGCAAGCTGCCTTGCGCAACTGATAAAAGATCAGGAGCTTTCATCCTCTGACCTTACTTGAAAATGAGCACATTGGCCAGTGGCTTACTCTGGAGCGAACTTTCTTTCCGTCCTTCCCGGGGAAATGAACTCGCTCGCTCTGTCATCGTCACATCATTTGAAGCTAAGCCGGCCTTCCTCTCTTAAAGTTCACATTGGAGTTCCCTGGATGGATGCTTGAATACCGCTCCATAGTTCCTTCGCCGTTGCCGAACTGAGCTCGGAGACCCAGCGGGTAGCTCGAACGGGCATCTGATTTGCCATTGTTACTACTCTAAGGCCACTTTCTCGACCACCACTGCTTTGTAAAGTAACGGAGGGAGCAGAGCTTATTCGAGGAAATAGCGAGGTTGAGAGTTATAAAAGGGCCACGCGGTCGTAGGATGGCGTCACCAGCTTGTTATCGCTGGCAGAGTAGGACGGGCTAACTTGAACTCTTGCAGCTGAGATGCCTAGAACCGTCTATGGCCAATTATCGCACCTTTGGCGCCTCATTGGTAGCCATACGTATACTTATGAGCCTCAGCATCTATGTGTCTACAGTCGGTGCCGAGAATGGGAAGCGGCTCTTGTCGCTAGACAGCTAACCTACGCCTTGTTTTGCGACACCTAAGGGTTTGTAAAATGCAGGGACGGATAGGGCGAAGAGAAGGCTTTGTTCTTCGTTCTAATTGCTATATAAACTTGGGCTAGCCCTCGATAGGGTGGGGACATATGTTGGGTTGGCTTTCAAAGGCCACTACGCGTTGCCGATGAGTCGGTGCATGGTAGAAGAGGGTCTCTTAGGTTGTTGGATGAGGTGGCGTTGTAAACTAGTACATCATTGAGCGATGCTTGTGCCGTCGCCTTGACTGAAAGAATATCAGTTGTTGTCCCTTTTGAGACGAACCTGGCCGACTCCATAATCGTGGCATAGCAGCCGCCCCCAACAATCAATCTGTGAATGGGTGGATCTATGGTTGATAGCCCTTTAAAGAGCGTTCACTGTTCATCATTGATACATTCTACTGTCAAGGGAGGAGAGGTTATTAATGAACGCCCAGTGCCCTGACTTCTCGTCTGTGCAGGAGTCAGTCAACCCCCTTGTCTGTTCCAAAGAAAAAAAAAAAGAACCAAAAAGTCCCTTCCCCCGCCTAAATTGTGGCACCCCGCCTTTCGGAGCCGCCCTCGGTCCTTGCTTTTGATCAACCATGTCCACCCCCACCAAGCCCTTCCCCAACTTTGGCCCAAAGTCTTGAGCCTACTTTCCCCTTTCCCCTCCTCGCAGCTCACAACAACCGCACCACAATATCCTCGATCGCATCCCGTATACCTCGGTACTCCCCTCCTCGATCTTACCACTGTCCCTACTAAGAACGGCCGAACTCTGAGATTATTGACGAGCACGTCCGGCATCTGGCACGTCCTTGACTTGCTTGCTCTTTGCTTGGGAGCGGCATCCATCTACTCGACTACCGACGATTCCTGTGGACAGCTCTACTAGAAGACCGTAAATCCCCAAGTGGACTCGCCTGCTCGACGAGGCCGCCCTAGCAACCCCTAAAGGAAGAAAGGAAGGAAGAAGGTGGAAGAGAGAAGAGGGAAGTAAGCGCTTGCCCTCGCGGACGGGATACCAAGGACCAAAAACGACCTCCCCAACAACCGCCAAAACGTCGTCCCACGACTACTCCGGCGCCGCCCCCGGGAAGGGCTGCGACCGTGTCCTCCTCTCCCCCACCTCGCCGCGCTTTCACCGGCCCATCCTCCAGTCCATGCCCGACACTCGCCAACAGTCCTTTGACGAGATTTACGGCCCCCGAGAACTTCCTCGAGATCGAGGTCCGCAACCCGAGGACCCACGGCGTCGGCCGTCACATGTACACCGACTACGAGATACTCTGCCGTACCAACATCCCCGCCTTCAAACTGCGCCAGTCCAGTGTCCGTCGCCGCTACTCCGACTTTGAGTATTTTCGCGATATCCTCGAGCGCGAGAGCGCCCGCGTCACCATCCCCCGCTACCCGGAAAAGTCTTCACCAATCGGTTTAGCGACGATGTAATTGAGGGTCGGAGGGCGGGCCTCGAAAAGTTCCTCAAGATCGTCGTGGGCCATCCGCTTCTGCAGACGGGGAGTAAGGTGCTCGCCGCATTCGTACAGGGTAAGTTTTCTTCATCTTTCTCCGTTTTTCCCATCTACCTCAGCCTTTTATTTTCTGGTGTATCTGGTTTCCGGATTGGAATAGCCATGTTTCTTTAGTTTGGTTCCCTCTTGACTATTGCTTGGTGAAGCCATGACGCTTCTTTGCGTGCGCACTCGCAAATCACACGTGCGGGGAACAGCCAATTTGCTAATAACTTGTACCGGGGCTGACCAACCTAACAGATCCAAACTGGGATCGGAACGCCTGGTGAGCTCGCAAGCTTTTGAAGAGAATCCCACCAGATCTGGTTTCCGTAGGCCATGATTTGCAACCAGCTGTCAGATAGTTTATGGGCGTTTATATCCGTGTACAACAAGAAAGTCGCGGGATTACAACTCGATCACGAGGGGCAAAATAGGGACGGCCATCTGAATATTTGTAACCCTTCTTCCACCCTTTTTTTTTTCTTTTTTTTTTTTTCCCTTATCTTACTTTACTTTTACTTCCTCTTGCCCTCCTTTCGACTCTCTTACATTTTACTGTTCCGTATCCAACTAGGCCAGCTACTTTTCTCTTTGACCGTTTCCCTCGCAATTTGTCTTTACTTCCATTGATGTTTGCGAGCTCTACTCTTGCCTCTTGCGTTTTGTGCCAAGCGCTTATTGCCACCTCGTGCCACACTTCAACTGAATATCGGCTAGGATTATTCGCGTCATTCATGTTTATAGGTGGTAGCATCTTCTACACAATTGAGGAGCGTAACAAGATCTCTTAAAGTAACCACTGTCTTACGTCGGTGTTACCTCGAAGCTCTTTCCCCGGGTGGCATTAAGTTATGTGTATCAACTGGCGTGGTCTGGCAGGATGGATTGGTTAAACAGTTTAGTTTCTTCTCACACCTGTCTATATTATATACATCATCCATGAGAATTGCCGTACAATCCTCTCCGCGGTCTTGTCCAAAAAGACATCTATTGTGGGATATTCATATTTGTACATTCGAGATATCGTACAAGAACGGGCTCACTCCTTTCCAAGCCCCCCAACCGTTTGCCTGCGAGTTTCTTACATGGAATGTCATATTCTTTTCTCATCTTCTCAGCTTCTCTTTTTTTTTTTTTCTTCCTTGGTTTTGATAATGTGCTTGATAGGATATGGGCCCACTCTCCCAACGTTGGTAACGCCGAAAAAAAGATGATGACGAAAACTCCGATTTCGAACAAGTAGAGAGCCTCTATCCCCAGTTTTTACGTTTCCCGCTTAAACCCGTCGCAGGTGCGAGGAACCAATATCTTCTCTTCATATGTTGCCCTTCGTCTTCCGCCGTCGTGGGACCCAAGCATTCTCTTCTATTTGTTCCGATTTTGTAAACTTATGCGCGTGCGTGCGCGCGTCCCTCCTGATTGCCGTGGTGGTTGGTGGTGATACAAAGTTGACGCAATGTTACAGGTTGCATGGTTGTGTGTGTTGGTACAAGAAGGTGGAGCGGCTGATCTTCGTTCGTCGTCCTTCGATTCCTTTCCTTCCTCACCATCCTCGTTTTCCCTGGAAGGGAAGGTAATGTTTGGAGGAGAGAGGTTGAAATAGTTGCGAGTGATAGTGGAGATTTGTTCTGGTATGACTGGTAACTTGGTCATGAGTAGAGAAAGGGAGGGTTGCTAACTCGCTGATCATTGACCCTGAGGTTGAACTCCGATTCCCCTCCTCGCCTTCACGAGCATATTCAGGTCGTTTATGAGGTAGTGCCAAAAACGCGCAGGATGCCTTCGTACATGCCAAATATGATCGCGGCACTGGGAACCGTCCTCATGAGATGAGGAGTCATGCCTCCATAGAGCCCAGCGAGACCTTCCTCAATCCAGACGCGGCGGAAGCACTGGACGAGGCCAGTGTATTTAGGTCGTCCATTGGCCATGGGGGCTTGGCGAAGTCGCGTTCGAGCAACCTAGACAAAGGGGGAACAGAATTCGGTTAGCTTGAGCTACAAAGAAGCTTGACGGAGAAAGACGAAATGGTGGGAGGGGAGAGAGAGAGGGGGCTCACCTCGTGAGGGTACGCAATCACGGCAGCAATCAGCTTCGCCCCGCCCGCGGCAAACACCTTGCCTGTCCAATCCACGGCCTTGTCCCACACCGTCTTCTCCCGCCCGCTGCGCTCAATGAAGTCGTTCCTGTTAGCGAGGTAGCGCTTCATCTGCTCGTACATGACCCATTGCATGGTGGACTCGGCCACGCCTAGGTAGCTGGCGCTCATGCCCTTGTAAAGGCTGCGCACACCCTCTTGGCGGAGGATCTGGCGAGTGCAGTCCCAGCTGTTGCGATAACGCCGCTGCGTCACGCCCCCGCTCTGCTCCGCTACGTTCTTGTCCAACTGCAGTCGCGTCTTGATCATCCAAATGGGGTTCGTTGCTGTCGACGTCACAATGCCCGCCATCACCGCCGCCGACAGGTGCACCCACGCCGCCTCCTGACCTCCATTCCCGTATTGCGCGATCAGCCGCTTGCCGTTGCCGTATGTGTAGAAACTGATACTCCGCGCCGGCACTACACCCACCAAGTTCGGCCCCAGTCCCTTGAACAGCGCCCGAGCACCCTCTACTCGGTACACTGACGCCAGGATCTGTATTGTCTCCTGCAGGTGCAGGCTCGCCGACCGCACCAGGTTGAGTGAGCCTAGCTGGGCGTGCGCCGCTCGTGAGGCCCGTACTTGCGTCTGGTACATGTCGGATTGGAGTCGAGTCTTCAGTACATCAAGAGGTGCGGTGACCGCTGCTGCCGTCATGCCGCCGACGCTACAAGAAAAGGTTAGTTTGGACCGTTTAACAGAGGCAGTTCTTGCTGTATAAACCGAGAAAGATCACCCAAAAGGAAAGGAACAAGGGGCAAAAGGGAAACTGAGTGGTCGCTTACCCTCCAGCTACAAAGTGAGCCCACGATTTGGCAAACGGCGAGGCTTCTGGCACGGCATTAGGCAACACCTCGCCAGTCTCGCGGGACTGTACCATCACGGCTCGGTCGGCAATGGGAGTATCCTCGGCCCTCCGACGCCGCGGAAGTGTTGTTCTTGGGAATGCATCAGATGGCGCCTTCGGTATCTAAGGGGAGGGATCTCGTGGATTCGCTTTTCCCTTTGGTTCCCCCTCGTCTTCGAGGCTCGATAGCCAAGGCTAGGATGAGTCGGGGTTTCGGTGACGTGTCGCGTGACGAATGATGGTTCAGTAAATCGCACTAGTGTTGGAAAGGATGCGAGATCGCAAGGAGAGTCGTGAGGCCCTCAGGTCCCCATATGTCGCGTAGAGGATGTGCCTTCGTGGCGATGGGCGTGTCGCAAGTGGGAGTGATAGTTGAATGGAAGAAAGAATGGAGGATTATTAAATTGATTTAAAGAATTGGAAGTGAAGGAAGAAGAAAACAAGAATTAAAGCTTAAACCCCTTGCGTTCCTTCATAAAAAGAAAAACCTCCGCAGGACAGGTCGTGATGAGAGTAGCGCACAAGAGAAAAGGTCGGCAATGGTAATTTCCGTGAGTGTGAACGGAAAATCGAATCATGCGAAGAGGCAACGCTTTTTTTTTGGGCCCTTTTTTCTCCTTCGAATTTGCCTGCTGGGATTCCGCCCTCCCTTTTGGCGATTTCCAAGTTCGTTGGCGATGACAGGGATCATTAGTAACACGCTTCCAGCTTTTTTTTCTTTTTTTCTCTTCTTTTCTTTTCTTTCTTTTTTTTGGGAACCTCGTCATTCGCCAGCGCGCAGAGCCCAACGCTAAGAAAAAGGGAACACCTGATTGGTTCCCAGCGCGCTCGGCGGGATCAGCCGTGATGGTGACGCAGGGAAAGAGCAGCTGCACAGACTATATTACAGACCACTACTAAACTTGGACGACGCAGCATCACGCGAAAACTTTGTCTGCCTTGTCGAGTTGTGAAATATCATTTGCGGATGTTTATGTTCCTTTGTGAGAATATCACTCTTTGTTTGAGAGCGGGCGGGAGCGGGAGGCCACCGGGGGACCCACTGAAGAATACGTTTCAACGATTACATGTAGTGACTTATAGAGGAATGGTAAAGCCTTGAAACGCCCCTCTGAAATATTGAGGCTATTACTTGTATCAATCCTTAGAGTTTCAATTCCTTTGACGCGCAAATATGATGCAAACTTCCCGCTTCCTGCCTCCTGAGAGGAATAACCTAGAAAAGAAAAACACAATTGAGAGATAAGGCCGCCCTGCTTTAAAACTCTCCAATGCAGTCTTTGGTTTCTTCTGCGCCATTTCTGCATCCTTTTAGCATTCACCTCAGGGCTGGGTCGTCAAATAACCAAATACAGCCATCCCGATGCAAAATTGTGAAAAAGCCATCCATGGATGCCCGAAAGGGCCACAAGAGCATCTCCTCACACCCTTCACTAGCCCTCCGCTAACTTGATCCTCATGCGGTCTCGTATCCTTCGAGGGCCGCTAGGGTAATAATATATGGAACTTATCCCTCTTGCTTCAAGAATGGCCCCACGTGGCCCGATACAACCGGCGGGCTCGGCAGCGCGGCCGCCGCCTGAGCTTCCGTCATCTCTACCTCTTTGACGGGTGCGCTCACGAAGTTAGGGTCTCGCGGTAGGCCCGTTGTCGGAAGCAGCTTGCGCGGCGGGCTCGGCGCCTGTGTTGTGATGGAGTCGATGTCCATTCGCGAAGCCGGTGGCGGTGACGCATCCTCTGTTTCCGCCTCCCCAAGGCTCGGCGGTTTCCGTTGTTGCTGTTGTTGTGGTTGCTTGTGCTGCTGGTGGTGTGGATGCGGATGTGGGTGCGGGTGCGGGTGCGAGTGCGGGTGCGGATGCGGATGTGAGTGATGGTGCAGGTGGTGCTGGTGGGCTGGCGGCACATGGCGAGAAGCGGTGTCGTCACTTTCCGATGCCATCCCGGCCTGCCGATGGAGCCCCCGTGGAGGGGACGGTTCATCGGTTAGTCTACTCGCAAGGTCATGGCGGTGTCCGCCTTGACCCGTTGGGGTCGGCTGTGGAGGTAGCGACGGCGGTAGCTGTTGATGTTGCTGCATAATGCTTGGCAACCTATTCTCGTCCCTCTCGATGCCATGCCCGCCTACGACCGCTCCAGCACCGCCGACGCTTGCGATGATGGCGCTCGCCCCGGGCAGAGGCCCATCGGATCCCTTCTTCACCGCCCTCTTCCGCATCTCCTTGCGTTGCTTGAGCTCCGCAATTTCCTCCTCTGTAGCCATTCTCCACGTGCACTTGGCGTGCTTCTTGGTGCACCCCTGGCATGCCGTTAGGTGCTTCACACATTCGACTTTTAGCCTCTTGCATCTGTCGCACGCTGGCACGATCTCGTCTCCCTTGCCAAGCGTTTCGATCATGCTCGTAATGAGTGGTCGGTGCAACGCCTCCGCATCCTCGGCTGCTGATTCTCGCCTCGGTGTCGCCGGTGGTTGTGGGGAGCCTCCCACTCGGCGCGATGGGGGCATACCGTGCCGTGGGGCTGGCCATCATGTACGCTCCAGGAGGGGCACCCTGTCCGGTGGCCGTGGCCGTGGAGACCTGGATGTGGCCCTGCGCGGGACCTGGCTGGATAGCGTAGATGGGCCGCGTGTACATACTAGGCGATGGTGAAGGTGAGCTAAACTGCTGGAGAAGCTCCGCATGGAGGTCACCCGATTCCAAGCCAATACCGCCCCTCATGCTGTTCTTTCGTTTCCGCCGGTTCACGGCCTGGAACCCTGTCGCCCCTCCTGACTGAGGTTGCTGACCCTGCTGTGGTTGCTGTGGTTGCTGCATCATCTGCTCGACAATGCCCGACCTTCTTCCCCTAAGAGCGTGCACCAGCCTGTTTGCGCTCCTTGTCACTTCTTCGGCAGTCCGGGCCAAACTCTCTAGCCTCTTCTCCAATATATCCACTGTCGCCAACTCTGCGTTCTCGTCCTCTTCCGTAGGGCCCTGGGGAATTAAGTTGTTCATTGCTCCGGTAGCGATGAGCCGCCAGTCGTCCTCGCTCACCTCAACCTGCACCCCCTTGAGGGTGAACCTACATATGCGACCGCCGCCCGGAAGCACCACCGTTGAGAAGTTGGTGGGATTGGATCGCGCATGGTGGATGATATCGGCCCATCGCACTGGGTTCTGTGTCTGTGGTGTCTGGGGGAGAAGTGATAATGGGACTCTCGAAGGCCCTCTCTGCCGCCTGGACGAGACGGGGCGCCGTGAGCTTCGCGCCGAGGTTTACGGCCAAGCTTTCCTGGCGCGCGATGACTCCTAACGGGCGAGAAAAGCGCAAGACAAGGAGCTATCCGTTAGCGCACTACTTCCAAACGGGAACGGTAAACAACACAAAGATCCCCGAGCGCCCTTGGCTCAATAACCTTGGAGGAGCAAAAGGCTTATATCGCATACCTTCATATTCGGAGAGGAGCTTCATAAGGTGCGCAAACACATCGCCGTCCCCTTGTACCAAGGCCAGTTTCTCGTAGCTAGCTCGAGAGTAATAGTTGATGGGCGCGGACGCCGGTGCTCCTACTTAGACCCAAAATGTTAGGCTTCTCTCCAAAGCTCCAAGCAGGGCTAACGTTGGCCCATACGCGCCACTCGCGGGTAGGGTGGTACAGCACAGCAAATGAAGAGTATATGAGAAAAGGAAGAGAACAAAACAGGAACGGACGGAACAAGCGGGTTGCGCAACAGGCGGGGATGAAGGTAGGTGCTGAACATTCTCAAAAACCACAGCCCAGAGAGAGGTTAAGGTTGAACAAATGGGCCAAGAGGGAGAGGGGATGTGGTTACCGGTGACCACAAAGGCAGTCATCTTGCGCTCGGACAAGAGACGGTCAAGCATCTGTAGCTGGCACGCAAGGGCAGGATGGTCTTTTCTAGTCGGCCTTGCTCGTTCTTCTCTCTTTCGAGAGCTATCCCCGCGCGAGGAAGAGGCAGTGGGGGATAAACTGTGAGGAAAGGACTTTTCTTAGCACGAGGGTGGCTATGTTCCACGCCAACGCACGCCGAGAAGGGGAGAAACACGCTCCGCGGCGGAACAGGACTCGAGCCCCTTTCGTCTCTCTTCTCTCTCACCCTTTCTCTTTTTGCTCTGTTTTGTTGGTGGGCCAACGCAAGCCAACAATACACACTCGCGCTCACACATGCACCTGGGGAAGCATACCTCCTTGGAGCAGCGAGTCTAGAACAAAGATGGTGAAGAGATATAATGATGGCGGTGTGAAAGGAGGGAGAGAGCTTGGGCCCTGGCTCGGAAGAGGGAGGATAGAAGAGGGCGAGAGGCACGGCCTTTGTAAGGGAAGAGGAGAAAAGAAAAAGAATGGAAAAGAAACAAATCAAGTCTAATAACGCGGAAGAGGCAAAAGGAACAAAGGCAGCTACGGCGCACAAGATGGCGGAGAGAGATAAAAAGGGGAAGACATGTGTTGCAGGTCAGGAATCTTCCGAAACGAAAGACGTCCAGCTGCCCAATATTGCCCAAAATGGGTGTTGAAGGGGAGGAATGGGAGGAAAGAGAGGAAGAGGGGAGGAGAGGGAGAGAGTGTATGTGTGTTGGGGGTGAGGGGGTGGGATGGGGTGTGGCACGAAGATGGAGATGTGCCGTCGTGGGAGGAGCGGGAAAAGAAAACTAATAGAAAAGGAAAAGAAGGTTGGACGGAAAATGAGGAGGGGCAGGAGACGAAGGAAATAGGTGGGGAGCAGAAAGACACGCAGAAAGAGAGAAGAGATAGGAAAAACCAAAGAAGCTAAACAGGCGAAGGGGTGAGGCAGGTAGACAGAGCAGCAGAAGGGAACTTTGGGGGGGCGGAAGCCAAGAGGATGGGTGGGAGGAGAACAGAAGGTAGAAGAGGCACGACATACCTCGATGTGGAGAGAACGACAACGCCATATGCGACAGGCTGCTGGGGCGGATCGGCTTTCCCCACAGGGATCAAGGTCACCGGCACCGGCGCCAGCGGTACTGCTTGCCCCATCACCTGCTGCTGCTGATGCCGATGTCAACGTTGATGCTGATGCTGCCGCTGCTGTGGTCCTTGTGTGTGTATGTGTATGCGCTGGTGCCTCTGCCGATGCTGCTGTTGGCGCTGGCACTCGCCCTTGCCCACCGCCTCCCCCAACATCCCGAGCGTCGATCTTCTTCCGCTTGTGCGGCTCGTCTGATGTGGTTACGTGCGCCATCAGGCTTCTTCAGCAGCTGACAGGTCGTCGACAGGGACGTGCGAATATACGCGTAGGCGGCGGATGTATGTGTGCAGAATGATAGAGTGGGAGGGAGACAAAGAGACAGGTAAGAAGGGCTTTGAAAAGGGTCAGACAGTAGAGCTCAGATCGGATGTACTCAAGGAGCTAGTCCTTTGGTCCCTCGGAAACCCTCAATAGGAAAGAATAGGAACAAAGCGATAGAGAGGGAGAGAGGGAGATGGTCAACAAGCCTCTGCCCCGGTGTCGGGAACGAGGGAAGGAAAGCTCCGAGTAGGAAAAATAAAGGTGAAAGCCGGAGAAACAGAAAAGCACGGCGAGGCCAAACAAAGATTCCGGTATATACCTACTTTCTCCTAACAGGCGGGTCCTCGAGGTAGATGAACCCGCGGCCATGAGAGGTAGTGTCAGTGGGATAAGGTGACCTCTTTCGTTTTTCTTTCTTATCCCCGCCCTCTCAGGAGTCAACCTTCCAAGGTATATATACGTCAGAGGGTGGGTATCTCACCAGTAGGAAGAAGGGAGAGAACAGCAAGATACAAAGTGATGAGAATGATACCAGGGGTTTAAGGGAACCCAAAGAATAGGAACGAGACGAAACAGCCAATATGAAGAGAGCGGGATCTAGGCAAGAGGGTAAGAAAGTAAGAAATCGATGTGAAAGGTGAAAAAAGGCAAGTGAACCGTTTCTACAGCCCACCCTTGCGCTCAAAGCCGACCTGAAATCAGCAGTGAGAACATTGAAGTCCCTGAAGAGGTCACTCGCAATAGTCGGCAAGGGGAACAGGGGAGAAAGAGAAAACAGAGGGACTAGAAATAGAAAAAGATGGCAAATTTGGTGGTTTTCCAACCTCCCGTCGTTCCTATGTAGGGAAGACTGTATCTTCTTCTCCTTCTGCCCTCTTTCGTGTTTCTTTTCTTTTTTTATGTTTTCTTTTGTTTTTAACCACAAGGCCCAGTGTCACCTACTTAGTACCCGCCAAAGGGCTGGCCATGGGCGGAGAGTGCAATTATGGGGGACAGGAAAGGTCGGTAAGTCCCGCTACGTTCACATCCACAATACCAGCTAATAAGCCAAGAATAGTCTGTCCTTTGCTTTCCCTACTCGCTTGTTTACCTCACCCTTAGACTAAGGGAAAAGAGCGAAAAAAAAAAAAAAAAAAAAAAAGAAAGAGGGATAGAGGGAAGAATAAGGAAGGGAGAAAGGAAAGACGTGAAAAGAAACGCGACAGCAAGGGAAAGGGAACAAGGACGGCCTAGAGCGCCACTGGCCGTGACTGATGACACCCAAAACCATGGGATGAATTTGAGGGCTCTCCTTGTCTCATCAATCTATCCCACTCTTAGAAAGGGGCCACGCAGAAATGGGGTTCCCTGAGGTTCATCCTAGAACTAGCCACACGGATACTTCTCGTCCAACGAGGCAGGCCGCAGGAGAAAAAGGATTCGAGGAGAAGGGTGGGAGGAGATTACATGGCGCGTGGGAAAAGAACAGAAGAGAAAAGAAAGGGCGATCTGGGAAGGGTGGGAGGAAGAAGAGGGAGTGGAAAGAGGGCGTAGCAGACGGAGGGAGGAGCCGCTTTCGTGTTCATTCGTCAAGCACCTCCAGAGAGGCAGAGGAGCGCCGGGGAAAGGATGGAGGGGGAGGGGTGTAAAGGGCCGAGACGAGTTTGGAGGTGTGTAGTCGGGTGAACGAGGCGGGAGGCGGGTATGTAGTGAACAAGAAAAGAAGCCATAGGAGAATGGGCGGCGGAGACCAAAGGTCTAGGAAATTCTAAGCAGGAGCCTGCAACATATGAACGGGATATGTAGACAGAGGTATACAGGAGGTAGAAAAGGCTGGGCTCGTGACAGCGGGAGCTGGTGCTCAGTTCAAGGTGCAGTTGTAGATGAATGGTTTCCACCCCCAGCATCTCCCATCCAACACGCCCACGCCGCTCTACCTCCAAATGATGCTGGACGCCCAGCCCGGCCCCCAAAACACTCCCCCGTTCTCTCACACCCCCGAGCCCTTTCACACTAGAGATTGTCTCTCTCTGTCTCTCTCTCCTCTCTCTTTTTCTTTGGCAGTGTTCTGGTACCCCCTTGGGTCTTGGCTCTTACCCATTCGGAACCTTACTCTCTTGACAGCTACCCCATCTTCCACCTCCAGCTCATCAAGCCCCCAAAGAGGCTACCTCGGTGGCCCCCACCCCCGTGGCCGATCCGTCTCAACCCTAATCTTCTACTTCTCTTATAATCCAACGAGATTTGGAGGAATGAAGCAAACGGAGAATTGCCAAGGGGCGTGATATCCACTCCTATACCCCAGTATACTATCCGCTTATCAACTGTCTCTTGTCTCTTGTTCATCTTAGATCACATTGCAATTAATCAGCTAATCTCCTCCCTACCCTTTTCTTGAAATGGAAGGGTGGAAAGGAGCAAGTGAAAAGCAACGAAAGATGCAAAGGTTAAAAATCGCCGAGGAGCCCAGCGGCTATACATCGATGAGCAACTGGAAAGGCAGTGTACATGCGTGCCCGCAAGAGGAAGATATGAGACGCAGAGAAGGAGCAGAGAAAAAGAAAGAAAGGTCAACGGCTGGAAAGGGAAGGGGAGAGAGAGAGAGAGATAGGTAAAAGGCATGTGTGCAAGCTCCACATCAACATATGAACAAGCTCCGAACAGCTAAGTGGCTTACCTGCTCTCTCATACATCCAAGATTGGGAGGGATTCCCAAGCTTGGAAATGACAACAATATACGGGTGGAGGAGAAGTTCGAAATGATCTCAGCCAAAAGTACACAGCATCATAAGCAGAAAAAGGAAAGAAAAAAGAATGGCGCTTACACGCCAACACGTTTACACCCTCCCCACCCCCTTTCCGTCTTTCCCCCAAACTAAAACTAATCCATCCATCCATGGATCTATCCATTTCATCTTTATTCTCCCTCCGGCCGCAAGTTCGACCTAGCTTTAGGGTGGCCGCTCTACGAGTCGTATTACAGCCAGCTAGCACAAGAGGCGGATTTGGGGGTCTTGTTCCCATCTGCCCTGCTTACTTTTCTTTCCTTTCCTCTTTTTTTTTTTTTTTGGTCTTTTAGGTTGGGTTGGGTTGGAGGGGCTTGTTATTACTTTTCTTTTCCCTTTCTTTCATTTTTCTTGTTCCTTCTTTTTCCTTTCTTTCTAAACCTTGCTCCAAGTTTCGTCGCCATTGTTGATTCCCGGCTCCAGTCAGGCCAGGATTAGAAAAGTCCCTTCGAATCACCGCTCCTGTCATCGCCATGCTGCAAGGCCTTGGCCCATCCGCTCCTGTACCTCCCCTCGCCTCTTTACCTAGCCTTTACACGGATCGAGAGATCGCTATCACTGAGATCGGAATGACGATCCATGGCTTGGTTTCCC